AAAAAATGTTCGGAGCAATTGTTTTGAAACGAAAAGTAATATTTTGCTTTTTCCGTTGTTTCAGCGATGTTTGAAAACAGATATTTCATTTTTTTTTAAAAAAATATGAATAAATTTTTTGGTTTCCAAAGAATGAAAAGCATAATCTGAATGAAAGATGGATATTTCTTTTTTATAAGTGATTACTTCAGATTAGGGCATTTTTCATCTTGCTCAGCAAGGATTTTAACAAACGCTGATTTGAAATGTATAAATTTTTTAGTTTCCTTTACGTCTAATTTTTGCTCTGCAAAGTAATCACTTCTTCTGCTTATCATTAGCAACCTGTTGATGACAACGAAAGACAAAAGAAAACGGAAAAAAAATTATAACTTTTGAACTTTTGAAATTGTGGATTGTAGGGATTATAAAAGTACAACTCATATTAATACTGAAATCATGCAATGTAAATATAATCTCTAATATGGAGTTGCATTGAAATATTCTATTATGGTGAAAAAATCAGAATTTAATCGCCATTTTCATTTCCATTTCCATTTCCATCTCCAGGTAATGGATAACTCCATGAACGATAACAATCATTAATCCTTTAATTTATTAGCGTAATTTCCATCATTTAAGAGAGCCAAATTTTTATTTTCGAAGAAGTATTAAATGAAGCGCAATTGAATTAAATGACGAAGCAGTTTATCACAGTAATTCACATTTTATAGTTTTATGTTTTTACTGAAAAATCAAACTGAATTTCCTTTCATCATCGACAATATATGGTTTCCTTGCAAAAGAAATGATTCAATCGTCAGTCGGAAAGTTTTTTCTTTCTGAAATTTCGTTAATTTTATTAAATCCATTAATTGATGAATCGAATGTTTGCTATGAATTTGTAGCCATATACTTTTCTTATTATTCTTTATTATTTATTCGAATTTATTCAACCATGAATTTTGGTTCTGGTTTTTTTTTTGCTGGAAAATTTAATTCAATATTCTACGGTACATGCAAACTTAATTGCAAGAACAAGCATTAAGTGAAAGTTTTTGTTGCAGATTTTTGAAAAGTGAATATGGTACATGTTACATTATTTCAAATATTTAAAGAAGCCGACATAAAGTATGTTTTTGTTAATTTTTATTTTTGTTCTTTTTGTTTTTGTTTAATTTTCTTTGCGACTTTTTGCATGGTATGATTAGGTATTAATTTGTTTTCTCAAACAAGTTCTTCTTTAATTCTGATTTCATCGAAAATATTTGAATTATCGGGAAATCAATAAATGAAATAATCCCATTGCTAAGATAATAATGTCTACTCAATTACACATCATTTAATCATCTCATTCAAACAGACCGAGATTTCTCAGCAAGAACATACTTCGTAGCATAAATGCATTTTCACCTTACCTCAAACCTTCTCTTTTTTTCTTGATTGCTTGATTACTGATTGAAATTATGGCTTCTATTCGAATTTGAATGCTGAAAAGATCATTTAATTAGCTGAAAGGGGATTGTAGTAGAATTATTATAAATTCATTTCATCTTACTTTTGATCTGCTTATGAATAAGAAAAAAAAATAGAACCAAATTGTCCTTTTATCACTTAATGATAAAAAAATTATAATTGCAATAAGCTTTCCCTACTGCATTTATAAATTTTTTTATCATTAGGTGATAAAAGAGTAATTTGTTGATGTGAAAGATCTGATAACTTT